CTAGATCCTTCCTTCCCTGGACACACACACACACACACACACACACACACACACACACACATCTATTTATATCATTTCAATATTCAGAATTATCCAGAATCAGTCTTTTATGTTCAGGCTGTGTTCAGGAAGTAGTCAAGTTGAGAGAACATTCAAAGTCTAGATACCTGTAATATATCCCCCTTCTACCTTTTTCAATCCACTGACTTCAATCAGTGCTGTCTGCTGGGATGCTGGCTGAGCTTGTGGGACTGACCTTGTGCAGGTGTTGTGCAGGTAACTGCAACTGCAGCGAGTTCATGAGTGCACTGGCCATGCTCTGTCCAGGAGACAGCGTTTCATAGCGCTCCTCCCTATCCTCTGACTCCTATATTCTTTCTGTCCTTTCTACATATGTCCTGCTTATTTTAAATCCAAGGGCTCGCCAAGTTTTGGATGAGAGTTAGTAGTATTTAATGGAGAGATTAAAGAAATTTTGTCTAAGACGTGCATGAATCACCATGAATTCTTTTCACTTTCTACCTACTTACTTGAGTCTGAAATCGTCAGCCGTCAGCCTGGCATTGTCAATCTGCAGAACAGCGTTAGCATTGCTGGTGGTAGAAGCGATGATCTAGAAATGGGGGGGGGGCGTTGAATTTTTTTTAAAAGGAAATTTATCACAATAGTTAAAAAAAACAAAGGTTTTTCTAAGGTTAGGAAGTCCAAGTAGCCAGATGTGGTGGTGAACACCTTTAGTCCCAGCACTCAGCAGGCTGATTTCTGTGAGAGCAAGGCCAGCCGGTCTGCACAGTGAGTTCTGGGCCAGCTGGGGCTACAGGGAAACCCTGTTTCAAAAACCAAAACAAACAAACAAGAAGTGCAAATAATAAAAATCAATAAAGTTATTAGTTGATGATTTTTTTTTCAAGACATGGTCTTAACTGTGTACCCGTGGCTGACCCAGAATTCACTTTGTAGACCAGGCTGGCTTTGAATTCACAGAGATCCATCTGCCTCTGCCTCCCAAGTGGCTGGGATTAAAGGCATGTGCCACCACAACTGGCTAATCAATGACATTTTTATCATGTTGTTAACAAATTGAATTTACCTCATGGATATTTCCAATGATAAATTGAAATACCCTCATTACAAATAAGGATGTAATGTTTTTTCCAGTAAAAAGAAATTTAGATAGTAAAGTACATATATATGACTGCAAATATAAAATTTTTTTACCTGGTTTTTAAGATCATCGATGATTGGGAAATATCTACTGTAGTCGTGATCCAGACCTCTGCAGGAGCCAGGCCCAAATTTCTCATACCAGCCCTTGATCTTCTGCTCCAGGTCAGCGTTGGCCTCCTGAAGAGCTTGTACATTATCCAGGTAGGAGGCCAGGCGGTCGTTGAGATTCTGCATGGTTACCTTCTCATTGCCAGAGAGGAGGCCCCCCTCATTCACAGTGAAGCCAGCACAGGAGCTGCCCACCCCTGTATTTCCTCCTGAGGAGCTGCCTCCAAAGGCGCAGGAGAAACCACTTCCAATGCCTGGCACACCACACGCATTCCCAGCTCCGAAGCTGGTGCCCCTGAGTGATCCTGTGCTGGGCCGGGCGTAGGATCTCCTGGATCCACTGGAAAGTCGCAGAGACATGATCTCAGGGCAAGTGTATCACAGAACTGTATTCTCGAAAGCCAGAATGGAGTGCCTTCTGACCCCAACGGTTCTGTTTGCCTTTTTATAGATATTTCCCAAGGGTGTTCTACATGAAATTCTGCCTACATAGGGTAAACCATGGCTTGCCAGCCTCAGCAAGTTAGCATAATTGGATGATTTTTCCTAATTAGTAACTAACTTTGCTGGGTTTATTTCTGTAGGAGGGAACTTGCCCTCAGGTTGGTGGTTATCTGGGAAATGGGTCCAGGTGGAGCAACGTCAGGCTCATTATTATAATTTAAAATTACTGGTGAGTCAGCCTTTGCTTCCACCCTCAGAAGATAAAGCTGATCGCCATCACAGAGCAGGAGTTTGGCAACATGGTTTTGGATTATTAAGCCAAGGCAGGTTTTGAAGTTTCTGAGACTCTACTTTTATTTTCACAATTCTTTCTACATCAGTTGAATTGCAGCCTTGATTTTTCCCACCGGGTCCTTCAATCACCAGGATTTGGTTCATTCATTTGTTTCTTCTGAATTCCTCTGGCCGCTGTTTCTGATGGGAAATTAGCTTCCATTTTGGCTGATGTATGCAACATATTTTGTTAACGCTTATGGCTGGGCAAAGTTGTCGTCTCCTCATCCATTTTGGTAATTAGGAACACACCCCTAATTGCTGTTATGTTTTGTGGCAGTTTGGAAGGACATTAATTTATTTCCTGACCCCACAAAATTTGAAGCCAACTTGGAAGGAACTGTTTCATTTGTCTTCACGTGGTTTATTTAGCTCCGGTGAAAGGCATAGCAAGCTAATGCTTTATTGGGTGTGGGTTCACATATATTTATTGAAAACCCTAAATGTGAAAAAACTCCATTTAAATGACAATTTATAATTTGCATATTTATGTGTCTGTGATGATTTGATATGTGTACACTATGGAATGTCTAAGTCAAGCTAATTAACATATTTGTTCTCTCATATTTTTGTAGTGAGAACATTTAGAATACACTTAGCAATTTTCAAGTCAGAAGTGCATTGCTGTTAACTATAGTCACCTAATTGTATAATAGATCTCCTGGACTTATTTCTTCTAACTGAATTTTTGTACCATTTTACTAAATTTCCCCAATGCATTTCCCTGATGATTAGTTAACACATTTTCATATCCCTGTTGATCATTGGTATGATTTCTTTAAAGGATTGTCTTTTAAATCATGCTCATTCTTTTTGTTACTCAGTTGAGTTCTTTATATATTTTGGATACTAGCAGTCTGTCAGATGCGGAGTTCACAGTGTTTTCTCTCAATATGTAGGTCAGTTCTCTGTTCATTGTTTCCTTTGCTCTGAAGAAGCTTTTTAGCTCCAAGTTTCCTATTTTTTTTTTTTTTTGTGTGTGTGTGTTTGTTGCCTGTGTTTTCAGGGTCATATAAAAATGTTTGTGCATGGGCTTGCGAGATGGCTGAGCAGTTAAAAATGCTTGCTGCTCTTCAAACGACCCAAGTTCAGTTCCCAGTACCCATGGAGCTGTGCACAACCTCCTGTAACTCCAGCTCTAGGGGATCTGATGCCCTCTTCTGGCCTTTGTGGCTATCTGCACATATGTGGCCAGACACAAAACTGAAAGTGAAATCTTTTAAAAAAAGCCTGTCCAGACCTATGTCAAGAGTGCATATGTATGTGTATGTGTGGTGTGTGTGTGTGTGTGTGTGTGTGTGGTGTATGCATGTATTTGTGTGTACACACAAGAGGTCAACTTTGGGCATCTTTCTCTACTGTTCTCCATTTATATATTAAACATTTATTTATTATTATATGTGTATGACATATGTATGTGTGGAGGTGTACATGTTTAATGGTATGGGTGTGGAGGTCAGAGGACAACTTTGTGGAGTTGGTTCTTTCCTTCCATTTAAAAATTTTTTAGATTTATTTTTATCTATATGTACATGTGTGCATCTGTATGTGTGTATGTCACATGTGTGCAAGTACCCACGGAGGTCAGAAGAAGACATTGGATCAGCTTGAACTGGAGTTACAGGTGGTCATGAGCCACCCGACCTGGGTGCTGGGAATTGAATGCAGGTCCTCTGCAAGGGAGATGAATGCTCTTAAGTACTGAGCCATCATGCCAACCCATCTCCACTTTTACATGGGTTCTAGAGTTTAAACTCAGTTCATCAGGTTTGCATGGCAAGACTTTGGCCCACTGAGCCATCTTGCTAACCCCTCCACCTTATCTTTTGAGATAGAGTCTCTCATTGAACTTGGAGCTCACGATTTCACCCAGACTAGCAATCCCCCAGGAGCTGCCTGTCTCTGTATTCTTAGACCTGGGGTTACAGACACATGTTGCTATGCCCTGTTTTTAGGTAGGTGCTGGGACTCTAAACTCAGGTCCTCATGTTTACATAGCAGGCACTTTACCCACTGAGCCATCTCCTTAACCCTATTTAGTACTTTTTCTTTTCTTTTCTTTCCCTTTTTTTTTTTTTTTTTTTTTTTTTTCTGAGGCAGGGTCTTACTTTGTAGCTCTGGCTGGATTGGAGCTCTCTACATAGACTGGGCTGGCCTTGAATGCATAGTAGTCCACCTGCCTTTGCCACTCAAGAGGCATGTACCCACACCTGGCCTTGTTTAGGATTAAGAATTTATTTAATTTGTGTATGTGTATGTGTGGGTGCACTTATGCCATGGTGTATGTTTAGAGGTCATAGGACAACTTTCAAGAGTTGGTTCTTTCCTTCTATCACATGGATCCTGTGGGTCAGGCACTTTACCGACTGTCATCTCCCAAGCACTGAGGATTTTTAAATTTTTGTTTACCACAGATACTGACCTATATTTTTCTTTTAACGCCATTGTCTGGTGTTGGTATAAAGGCAATTATGGCCTCATAAAATGAGTTTGGAAGTATTTCCTTCTCTAATTTTTGAAAAAATGTGAGCAGAGTTAGTATTAGTTCTTCAGTAAACGTTTGGTAGAATTTATATACAAATTTATGGTCCTGGACTTTTCTTGATGGGAAACTTTTAATTTAAAAAATATTTTATTGTTTTTATGTGTATGAGTGTTTCACCTGCATGTATGTAAGTGCACCCATGTCATACAATGCCTGGGGAGGTCAGAAGAGGGCATTGAATCCCTTGGAACTGGAGTTACGGATGGGTGTTATCTTCCATGTGGGTGCTGGGAATTGAAGTCAGGTCTTCTGCAAGAGCAGCCAGCGCTCTTAACTGCCGAGCCATCTCTCCAGCCCTTGGAGTCTTTTTATTGTGGAACCAGTCTTACTACTGGTTTGTTCAGAGCTATCGTTTCTTCAAGTCCAGTGTTGGTCTGTTGTGTTTCTAGCAATGAATCCATCTGTCGGTTTGCTCATAGAAGACTCTTATGACCCTGAGTGCTGCTGTGGAGTCACTGCCGTGTTTCCTCTTCTAGTTCTGATTTTTTTGAAGCTCTCTTTCTCTGTCCCTCTGTGTCTGTCTCTTGGACTCTCTCTGTGTCTCTCTCTGTCTCTCTGTCTCTCTCTTTGTGTCTCTGTCTCTCTTTATCTCTCTCTGTCTTTGTCTCTGTCTTTCTTTTTCTCTCTGTTTCCTCTTCTCCTCTCTTTTTGGTTGCCTGGCCAAGGCTTGTTCGTTTTGTTCATCTTTTCAAAAATTAACTCTTTTATTTATTGTTTCTATTCTTCATCCTCTTCTTTGTTCTCTTTCTCCTTCTCCTTTTCTTCCTCCTCATCTCTATCTTCCTCTTCTTTCTCCTTTGATACAGATTCATTTCTGATGCTGGCCTGGAATGTGCTATAAAGTGCAGGCTAGCCTCAAATTCATGATTCTCCTGCCTCGGCCTCCTGAGTGCTGGACATAAAGGTATCTGCCACTACACCCAACTTCATTTTCTTTTATTTTTATTCCTTAAATTGATTAACCTCATGCATATACTAGATAACATATATGGGATATTTATAGAAAACTGTTCATAGTATTCCCAAAGTAGAAATAATAATTCCACAGTAATATGCACAAGTTTTGACGAATACTCCAAAACTGTTGTCAGTTTGGGTATAAAATGGTATCTCACGTGGTTCCGGTTTTGTTTTTGTAATTGCTAATGTAGTTGAGCATTTTTAATACATTTATTTGTAATTCTGAAATCCTCTTGGCATGCTGACAATGCCTTTCTGTCTTTACCTTCCCTTGCTGCTGCTGGAGTTCTTCCTGTTACTCAGTTGAACAGAACCATCGTTGTTCCTATATCAAGCTTTAAAATCTTCCCTTTGCTGCATTGTGGACTTACTACAACCTGCCTGCATGTGGATTCACTGTTACGTTATTGGTAGTTCACCCTTAGGGATGTCTAGTGAAAAATTTGAGATTTGTCAAGTATTGGTGACAGACTTTTACTTTTTTATTTTTTGTAAATATTGATCTTTTGGAAACAAGGAAGAATACTTAAAGCTTCCAGTCTTTATAGGGAGGATGGCATTCATTAAAAACAAGCAGTTTAGAGTAATCGTTTCTTCTTGCATCGGTTATAAGCCCGTCCAATGCAGACAGGAAAGCCTACTTATCTGTTTAAGTAGGAAAATGTGAAAACAGAAAATGGAAGTTTGATTTCCAGGAAGAACTCCTCAACAGCAGCAATGGAAGATAAAGACAGAAAGGTACTGTCAGTATGCTGAGAAGAATTCAGAATTACAAATAAAGGAAAAGAGAGGAACTCTATTTGGAGACTAAGGAAGGATAATGATGACTGGCTGTCATAAGATAAAGTGGGTGAGGGGCTGGAGAGATGGCTTAGCAGTTAGGAGCACCCACTGCTCTTGAAGAGGACCTGGGTTCAATTCCCAGCAACCACATGACAACTAAAAATCATCTGTAACTCAAGTTCCAGAGGATCCAATGCCCTCTGCTGACCTCCGCGGGCATTGCATGACAGGGGTGGACTTACATGCAGGCAATACAGTCATACACATAAAAAGAAGATAAAGCAGGTCAGGTGCTGAGCTTGCACAATAGTAAGTTTTCCACCAGTTTTGAGAGAGCTGAGCATGTGACTCTAGTCCTGCAATTTCTAGGGCAAAGCTTCTATGACCCTGACAGTCAGACTAGACTAATGAAGCATAGTGAGGGAATCTGTAGTCTAAACAGGAGAAAACCAATGACCAGAATTAGTTAATATGGGACAGAGAAGAAAACTGCTGGGAGAGAAGTTGGAGCTAACCAACTAATATAGAGGAACTTGGCAGAGAGCTAGAGCATGGCAGAGGACGGGAGCATGGGCAGAGGATGGGATTATGGGCAGAGGGCGGGAACATGGGCAGAGGACAGGATCATGGGCAGAGGGCAGGAGCATGGGCAGAGGACGGGATCATGGGCAGAGGGCAGGAGCATGGGTAGAGGACAGGATCATGGGCAGGGGCCAGGAGCATGCGCAGGGGGCAGGAGCATGGGTAGAGTTCACACCCTCTCTGCTAGTAGCCACACTCCTCACCACGTCATTGATGACTGTGCACACAACACCCTGCCTGTCTATGGCCCATCTTTGGTGACAGTAGACTCTTATTGGGAAAACAGAATGTGCCTCAGTGAAATTCCTATGGGGATTCTGTTTTATGCCTTAGAACTATGATAGTTAATCTTGGTTGTCAATTGACTGGATCTGGAATCAATTAAGAGGCCTGCCTCTGGTGGGTCTGTCAGGGTATTTTCTGGAAGGATTAACTGGGAGGGGAAGAACCTCCTCAAGAGTGTGTGTCACCTTGTCACAGTAGCTCAGATATAAAAAGATCTGAGGGAGAAGCTGCTGCTTTTGGCCTGCTGGCCTTCACCTCCTGCTGGTGAATGCATCTGTCCTATTGCTACTGTAACCATTGCCACCACTGCTGCCTCCATCTTTCGCTGCCATTGAAACCCCCCTTCTTTGCCTTCCTGACATGAACCAAAGACAAATGGCCCTCAGCTCCTCCAGGCCCTCAGTACCGATTGGGGTTGCTGAGGCATCCAGCCTCATGGGCTGAACAGATACTGTGTTCTACCCTTTCCAGCGTGAAGAAGGCATGTTGGATTATCTAGACTGTACTGTGTAAACCAATCTAACACTTCTCTTTTGAACAGCTATTTTGAACAGTTCATTCTATTCGTTCTGTCCTCCTAGAGAACCCTGACTAAATACAAGGACTCCTGTCACCACGGGGGAGAAGTTCTGGATTTGAATCTCGGCCCCACCACACCTCAGCCATGTAGCCCTAGGGAAATACCGTTGTCTCTTTGAATATGTATTTCTTTGAATATGTATAAAGTATGCTCAAGCTCAGTAAATGTAGGATACTGTCGTTATAGTTCTGCCTTCAAAATCACTTCTGACTTAATCCAATTCCATAGCACTGAAATTATAGCTTTGATCATCATGGTTGGTGCCATTCATGACGAAAGACCCCACAAAGAAATCAACATTTAAGAACACTATCTTCAGGTTGGGGTCATTTATATTATTCAAGAGTTGGAAATAACAGCAATAAGGTCTTGTAGATCCGCCCTCAGAGGACCCAGCACCGTGAGGTGACGTGTTCCAGTGAATGTGCCATTCTGAACTCCATGTTCTCTATACTCCAGTTTGTTAGAACTCTTCAGTGACACCTGTCATACATGTTGGAAATCCAGGTTTTCTACCGCTGCCTCCCTCGTTCCACCCAAGTGGAAAACTCACTTTATCTCAGCATTCTGATGCTTTTCAGCACCAGCTGCACATCCTAAGATGATTGGGTCAGAATGTCAGGCATGACGTTTTAATAATAATAATGATCTCAATTCTTGATGTTTGGTTTTTAGCCTCAGCCTTTAAAGGCCGCACCATCTCTTCAGCCCTTAATTAATTCTTGAGAATTTCATACATGCATACAGTGTATTCTGATCACATTCACTCTTTCACTCCGCTTCCTAACACCTCCTAGATCTACCTCCACCCCCTTCCAACTTCACGTCCCCCCACTTTTTATAACCTCTCGAGTTCCATTTGTGCTGTTCATATACGCAGAGCTGTGGGGCCATCCACTGGAGCATGGTTGACCTACCAGGGGCCACACACGTTAAGAAAACCAACTCTCCTTCCCCTAGCAGCCATCAACTGTCATTAGCATCTCAGCTACTGGTGGGGACTGGTGAACTCCTCCCTCCTCCATGTTGGAATGTTCACTGACTTGATCTCGTGCAGGTCCTGTGCAGGCAACCACAGCTGCTGTGAGTTCATGAGTGAAGCAGTCATGTCGTGTCCAGAATACAATGTTTTGCTCTGATCTTCCCCGTCTTCTGGATCTTCAATCTTTCTCCCTCTTCTAAGATGTTCCTTGAGCCTCAGGGGCAGGGGTGTGATATAGCTGTCCCATTTATTGCTAAACACTCCACAGACATTTCTCTACCTTTTGGTAAGTTGAGTTTCTGTATTAGCTGTTGCCCAGTGCACAAAATGTGAGGCATGAGCTTGTGTGCAGGAGGATGCTGGTGAGATTTAGACTGCATCTCATGCTTGAGTAGGGGGGTTCAAAGTTTGTCAGTCATCACCATGGGTGGGGAGAGGGGAGATGTACATGTTGCAAAATGGAAGAATAGCTAACCAGGTTCAGATCAACAAACACTCAAGGATCATCTAGGCATCAGAAGGGCAAACAAATCCTAATGATCAATGGATACATAAATTTTTACATCTGTAGAATCCCAAATTCCAAGAGATAGGTCATTTACATAAGTAATTGGGGACAGAGAGTAGGGCTAAAACCCTTTCCTATTTATTGTGCTATTAATTGAGGTGAATGTGATTGTGAGACGAAGCCTTACAGTGTCCTGGGTGTGGTTGTATGGAGATCAACTGTGGAAATGGAAAAGATGCAGATTCATAAAAAATAATTTGAAGCAGAAGAATTCTTCATGAAATAGCAAAAGGCCCACAGAATAAAAACGAAAATACAGATACACTAAGGTTTTTCCTTTTCTTGGAAAGAGTTAAAAAAGTTGAGAAGCGTAGACAGATAGGGGAATGGCGGTGATGTGGGAAGGGAAGCATGAAAAAGGTGCCTTTCCCCCTGGAGTCGGATTTGCCTTTTTTGCTGAGAAAGGCAGGAAACTTCAGATACCCCCAGTAAAGCCAAAATTGTCCACGGGAACAATATATGTTTTCCAAAAGACGGCTCATCAAGGACAGTAGGTAAACTGTATTTACTTAGGACCAATACGATGTATAACCCTGGATTTCCAGAACTCTGCTCTTATCCCTAGGTCTAAACAATACCCCACAAACCTACCTTACAACTTTGCAGAAGGAAATTCTTTGACTTTTAACCTTGTGTTAAGATATGCCCTTTGAGCAATGCCGAAAAGAGAAGGGGAAGTTTCTCAGTAACCTTTAGCACTACGCCTTAGGAGTCACTAACATCTTATGTATACCCATTATAAAGACACCTGTGTGACTCTCCCTGGAGAAGCCCACACCCATGCTTGGGTACATCTGAGTCTTTCCCTGAGCATCTCTTTTTCTATCAACCCCTGTGCTTCAGATCTATGTAAAAAAAAAAAAAAAAATGCCATTTGGCAAACATCCAACTCTGCTTCGTATTGGCTCCCCTTGAAATTCTTCCCTTTGTCAAAGCCAAGAGTACCAGTGTCTCCATCTGTGTTACCCATGAGACCATGAGGAGAGGAAGAAAAGGAAACATGATTCTAGTCCTTTGACTTCTAAGAACAGACATGAATGATTTTCTTGGGTTACTTGACCAATGGGATATTGCAAACGCGATTGTTTCATTTTATGAATGACCTTTTCCTCCTTCACAATGCTTTGGCTGTCACCCGCTGCTCCATTGTGATGTTGCTTATTTTAGAGGATTTTTCTTCAACGGAGTGCACTCTCAGGGAAAGGAGATTGCCAAGCTGATCTAGTTCTTCAACCATTGTTCTGACAAATGTTTCTTCTGTTGAGTCTAAAATGAAATAAGTGAAAGTTCAGTAAGCATTCTTAACAAGCTGAAAGGTATTTATTTAGTCATGAGAGGTATGCTTTTTAAAATTGTTTTTTGTAAGTTCTCAGTAAATTGAGATACAATACTGTTTAAAGTCAATGCTTAATAAGATCTAGGAATATCTATCTTCCTCCATTCCTCCCTCGCTCCCTCCCTCCTTCCCTCCTCCTTACATCATTTCTCTCTCTCTCTCTCTCTCTCTCTCTCTCTCTCTCAGCAGTGGGTGCTTGAAATTAAAATAATATAAGCACCAGGTAAGTATAGGCCTGGAACAAGCAATGTCTGCTCCCCTCCCCTGCCCTCCCCTCTCCTCCCCTTCCTTCCCCTTCCCTTCTCTTCCCTTCCCATCTCTTTTTTCTGGAGTTGGGAATTGAACCTAGGGCCTCACAGCCTACTAGACAAAGGCTTTACCTCTGAGCTTTATCTCCAGCCCTCTTTTTGCTTTTTATTTTGAGACAGTCTTGTTGAGGCGCTGAGGCTGGTTTTCAACTCACTTTATAGCCTAGACAGGCCTTGAATTTACAATCCTGCTGGTACAGTTTGCCAAGTACCCAGGACTACAGGCATCTGTCACCGGATCTGGCTATTGCCTTCTTTTAAATACCAACTTCCCCTATTTTTGTCGTTTAAAATAAAGTAGCTTATTAAAGTAGAACTGTAAAGAATGCATTCCAGGCATGAAGATGTTGGAGGGTTAATTCTTCATATCAGTCATTGTATAATTTGACCAAATCTGCTCTATAGGGATAAAAAATTTAAAGAATTGTCAGGCCAACATGGTTGCACACACCTGTAACCCTAACAAGTGAGAGATCAAAGAAGACTATGGGTTCTACATCAGCTTGGGCTACATGGCAAAATTTGAAAAGAAAAAAAAAGTCACAATACCCTCTCATTGATTCATTCACTAGACCCAAACTTAGAAATAAAATTTGTTTAGTGAATAAATAGCTCATATAATACATCTGATGGAGTTTAAAGGGATTACATTAAGGGCTGTGGAAATGGCTCAGTTGGTGAAGTGCTTGCTGTGCAAGTATGAGGACCTGAGTTCGATCCCCAGAACCCACGTAAAAGCCAGGCGTGGTGATGCACACTAGCAATCCCAGCACTGGCGAGGCAGAGACAGGGGAATCCCTGGGGGTTCCCTGGCCAGCCAGCATGGCCAAATTGACAAGTTCCAGACCAGTGAGAGACCCTGCTTCAAAAAACAAGGCAGAGAGCACTGGGGAAGACATCTGAGGTTGGTCTCTGCCTTCCACATGCATGAGCACACACATGGACCTGCAGACACTCATACATGAACATGCATCTGAACACATACAACACAGACACACTCAGAATTACTTCAAGTAAAACCCTTTCCCCACCTTTGACTTCATTTACAGGCTTGCTGTCTTTTAGTTTGTAGCACGTGGGCTTGCTTCTTCTGTGGAGAGAATAGATTATGGTATTTTCTTTCAAGAAGAGCTCATAAATATGAATTGGAAATGGTAGTTTTTAAAGATTTATTTTAGTATTTATTTATTTATTTATTTATTTATTTATTTATTTATTTATGTGTGTATGACATGTGTGCAGGTACTCTTGGAGGTCAAAAGAGGGTGTCTGATCCTTTCCCCTGGAGCTGTAGTTACAGGCAGTTGTGAATCCCCTGAACTCTGGTCCTTTTGAAGAGCAACCAGTGCTCTTAACCATTTTTGGAGTTCTAGCTTAAATTGTTCTATTTTAAAAAATTTTATTTATTAATTTAAAAATTTTATGTGTATGAGTTATTGCCTGCATGTATGTGAGTGCACCTGTATTGTGCAATGCCGCAGAGGTCAGAAGAAGGCTTCGGATTCCCCTGGAACTGGAGTTAAGGACAGTTCGTAGCTGCCATGTGGGTGCTGGGAATCGAACCTGGGTCCTCTGCAAGAGCAGTCAGTGCTCTTAACCGCTGAGCCATCTCTCCAGCTCTGAAAACATGTTTTGGAGTTCTAGTTTCAATAAGTTTTAAATTGTTCTATTTTTAAGGCATGTCAGCAAGCTTTTCATGATTTCAGCATAGTGAAAAAAGATTTATTAAGTGGATAGTCATGACCAGATGCTATCTTCTTCATTTAGCAACATGGGAACCCCAAATTCTTCTTCTGACTTTTCACTCAACAGGCCAGTGAGCATGTTTAGAGTGCCTACTCTGTGAAGGAGCTGGACTAGGCACTGTAGAAAAATAAAGACCTAAGAAACACACATCGTTTATAGTGTTAGGAAAGAAAACGTTCATGTAAAGTTATGCTTAACATTGATTAAAACATGCTGTGTGGTAAGTGGAGGGTGAATGGTCTCTAAGTACTGAGGAGGCAGTGTCACTGCAAGGTGAGACAGCCTGGAGAGGGCTCCCCTGGCCTCGGAGGATTCAGATGTCAGCTCTTCACAGTGTGAACATGGGCAAGCATTTAGTAACAGCCTCTGAGGACATATGTGTGTAAGCCTCTGTCAAAGCACTTTTCCTACACAGTGAGGTGCTGTGATTGAGAGCAGTTACGTATGGCTCTAGTGTTATCACAGCTTTACCAACAAGAAAACTGTGGTTCAAAGAGATTAAGCCATGCGCTCACACTCACTCAATATGTGATTCACACTCAGGGCTGCAATTCTAGGGCTTTTTGGGTCTTGGCTAACAAACTCTGATGCCTCTCTAATGAGATCTTGAAAGGGAGCTATGGGTATCACCATATCACCAATGCAATTAAATCTTCTTAATCATCTCTCTGAACTTTCATAGAGGGTGTGTGTGTGTTAATTAATGAAATAATAATAAAATAGGATGAGTCATTAAATGTGTTTATAGGCAAGCCAGGGCTACATAGTGAGACCCTGTATAGAAAAATGTTTAAATATAAATCACAGAATGCAAATTTTCTCTTGGAACAAAGTACTAGAATTGTTGAGAATTTTATATTTAAATGCCTTTTAGTAATTATACAGACAAATATTCTGCATACTCAGATCTCTGGTTTCTAGGCTGGGTGTGGTGGTGCATGTGTGCAATCATAGCACATAGGAGGCTCAGGCTGAAAGACCTTAGTGTTCAGTGTTTGAGCTATGGAATGAGACTCTGTCTCAAAAAACCCAGACTCAAACCCAAATGAACCAAAAACCAAAAACCAAAAAATTCCCAAAACTTTAATTTTCAAATTTCTATTTTCATTGTACTTCGATGCAATAATGTTATGTACATGAATATGATTTTTAAGAAACTCTAGGCTACTATATATGTATATGTATATAATATAAAATATGATAATAGGAGCTAGAGAATGGTTAAGCACGGTTGCTCTTCCAGAGGACCCTATTTGGGGTCCCAGCACCCACATGGCAGCTAACACCAGTTTTTAACTCCAGTTCCAGGGGATCTAGTGCCCTCTTCTGGCCTCTGTGGGCATTGCACACATGTGGTATACTTACATGTAAACAAAACATTCATTCATACACATAAAATAAAAATAAATAAAATGTTAAAATGTAAAATACTAAATAAATATTTGCACAATATATGCTAGATTTATAGACATGTCAAATGTATGTACCACATAGCATATTTATATAATAATCTCTATGAACACCTTGTTGCTGTGAGGTCAATCTTCTCTCATGCCCACCTTACCTCTGCTCTCCGTCTAGTAAGGTGCAATATGTTTCGATCTCCTGTTCCAGGCATGTTTTGATGCCCAGCAGCTGCTCGTGCTCCAGCTTCTGGCCTTCCGTCTCCGTCCGAATCTGCTGCAGTTGCTCTTCCTTCGCTCCGATCTGGTCCTGGATTTGTTGGAGTTGAGCATAGTAATTTCCTTCAGTCTCAGCCAATGAGCTTTCATAGGACTGTTTCTGAAAGAACAGAGTAAAGCTTAAATGATCAAGAGAGAGTGGCATGTCCATACTTTAAACATTCTCAAGGTAAAAAGGGATATTTGAACAAGGTATAAGTATTTTCAATTGGAAATCAAAACGGGCAAGATTTAAAAGAATGTCTTTTTTCATTGAAAAACTTCAGGGTTAGGGATTGGTGGGTCAGAAGTCATGTTTATGGATGGAATTCTTTTTATTTTAATTTTTTATGTGTATGTGTGTTTTGCCTTCATGTATGTAAGTACAACCATGTTATGCAATGCCCATGGAGGACAGAAGAGGGTATCAGATGCCCTGGAATTGGAGTTGTAGACAGTTGTTAGCTGCCATGTGGGTGCTGGGAACCCAACCTGGGTCCTTTGCAAGAACAGTCAGTGCTCTTAACTGCTGAGCCATCTCTTCAGCCCCTATGGATAGAATTCTTGATACTTAATATAACATATTTTTAGTCATATAATTATACATACCATATATAGTATTATAACTATCCATTTTACTTATGTGTTACTTACCTATGCATATATAATGTTGTGTTCTGGTTGTGGTTTGAGTATGTCCCTCCAAGGATTTGTGTATCAGAAACTTAGTCTCAGTGTGCTGCTGTTAAGATATGTGGGAATCTTTAAGAGTTGGGGCATAGAGGAGGTTATTAAATCACTAGGGGCACTGTTCTTAGAGTAAATAGAGTTGTAGTGGGACACTGGTTAGTTCTCCTGAAAGCTTCTGTCATGATGCCATGTGCCAAGATGTGATGTAGTCAGGGAGGGATTTGCCAGAGTTAGGGACATGCTATTTGAGTTTTTAAGTGCCCACAAGCTGTAAGCTCTTCTCTTTGCAAGATATCCAGCTTCAGGTATTTTGCTGTAGTAAAAGAAAGTGGGCAGGTACACATATTCAGTTCAATGACAACTGTTTTGTTTTGTCTTTTTGTGATAGGATCTCCCTGTAGTTCCAGCTGACCTGGAGCTTGCTATGTAGACCAGGCTGGCCTCAAGCTCACATAGACCCTCCTGCCTCTACCTCCCAAGTGCTAGAATTAAAGGCCTGCACCACCACGACTGGCAAATGGCAGTTCTTACATACCATAGCCATTAGGGACAGATGACAGTTCTTTCTTACATACCATAGCCATTAGGGATTGAAGTTCTATCTCCAGGGTTTGCAGGTTGCGTTTCAGTTCCGTCAGCTCATTTCTGGCTGCCGTGGCCGCTCCTGCATCATCTGAAATCTGTTGCTGCAGTGAAGCACTCTGAAGAGGAATTGTCAGAAGGGTTAGTGATCTGCTTGACCGCTTTCCAAACAAGCCCCTCCTGTGTAACGTGCGGTAGATGTACCTTCTCTTTAAAGCAAGCCTCTGCATCTTTGCGATTCTGCTCAGCCAGATCCTCATACTCAGCCCTCATGTTGTTCAACACGGCGGTTAGATCCACTCCGGGCGCGGCGTTCATCTCCACGTTTATGTTCCCTCCGGATGCGTTTTGCAGGACTTCCATTTCCTGGAAAGGGGTAAAGCATTAATACTCCAGGGAGGATTTTGAAATGATGCTCACGGCCTGCTGTGAGATGAATTGTGGGTTTGGAGGAGACCAGGGTACAAAGCTGGTCTGCAGACTTCCTTACCTCCTCATGGTTTTTTTGGAGGTATGTCAGCTCCTCACTGAGAGCCTCAAACTGCAAGTCCAAGTCAGTTGCTGAATGGGTCAGCCCTTCCAACACTTTTCGAAGTCCGTTGGTGTCCGCCTCAACGGTCTGGTGTAGAGCAAGCTCATTTTCATACCTTACAGGTCAGGAAAGGTCAGGTTAGAATTGTGACCGCAGGCAGGGCAAGGCTCAGCTTGTAAAGACATTTTGTGTGCTGAGAGACGCAGTGTTCTGTGTACGCTTCTGCGTGTTCTTGCGATGGCACACTATTAAGCTAGCTTGAGATACCTACAGTTTATAAAGATCATTATTGTGTGTCTCTTTGGTGTGTGTATGTGTTCATGTGTGTGTATGTGTATGTGCGGGTGCATGTGTACGCATGTGGAAGTCAGAGATCAACTTGGATATCGTTCTCACTTTCCACCTTATTTAAAATAATTGATTTATTCTGGGTGTAGTGGCACATGCCTTTAATCCCAGCACTTGGGAGGTAGAGGTAGGCGGATCTCTACAACTTCAAGGACAGCCTGGTCTCCATAGTGAATTCAGGCTAGCCCTGGCTACAGGGAGACCCTGTCTCAAAAAGACCCCCCAAAATTATTTTATTTATTATTTTTATTTTTTCCTGTGTATGAGTATATTAGCTGCATGCATGCAAGTGCATCCATGTTGTGCAGTGCCCACGGAGGTCAGAAGAGGGCGCTGGATCCCCTGGAACTGGAGTCAAGGACAGCTGTTAGCTGGTCATTTGGGTTCTGGGAACTGCACCTGGGTCCTCTGCAAGAGCAGCCAGTGTTCTTCACTGCTGAGCCACCTCTCCAGCCCCCTCCATCTTATCTTCTGAGACAGGATCTCTCACTGAACCTGGACATCACCAATTCAGCTAGACTGGCTGCCCGGTGAGCCCCAGAGATCCCCCTGCCACCACCTCCTCAGCACCGAGATTACTCATGTATGCTGCTATGTCCAGCTTTATGTGTGAATATTGGGGATTTGAACTCAGGTCCTCATGCTTGTGTGGCAAGCATCATTTACCCACTGAGTCATCTCCATAGCCTCTATAAATATTGTTTTAGAGGTCTTATTCTTTACAGTTGATCTTTGTCATCCAATGGATTTAATGCTTGAATAAAATCGTGTTAGGTTTTTAAATTTTATGCGATCTCCTTTTATGAGGGTGTATTAAATTATTTTTTTCCAGTCTTTATTTTTTCTTGAGACAGGGTCCCCTTGTAGCTCCAGGTGGCCTGGAACTCTCTACATAGACCAGGCTGGACTCAAACTTATAGAGATTTGCCTGCTTCTGCCTCCCAAGTGCTGGGATTAAAGGCATGTGCTACCATGCCTGGATAAATTCTGTCTTAATTATCTAGAATGACTTTATTAAAACATTTTGGCTTCAGGGGCTAGAGAAATGGCTTAGCAGTTAAGAGCACTGGCTGCTGTTCCAGAGGGCCCCGGTTCAATTCCTAGCATCCTCATGGTGGCTAACAAATCCATAACTCCAGTTCCAGGGCCTCAGACACCCTCTTCTGGTCTCTGTAGGCATTGCATGCATGTGGTACATTTACATACATACAGGCAAAACACTTAAACACATAAAATAAAAATAAATAAATTCAAAAAATGTATTTCGGTTTTAAAAGCAAATGATATGTTCTTTAGTTCAGCTGTAGTCTTAACCATTGTTAGTATAATAACCCTTTCCTTTCACCTACTTCATCCTGAAGTCATCAGCCGTGAGCCTGGCATTGTCATTTTGAAGAATAATACTGGCATTGCAGGCGGTCACAGAAATGATCTGCAGAAGTAGATTGTGCACAGTGTTAAATACCGAAAGTCAGAGGACATTCCAATGTTAGGGTAGGTCTGTATCAAGCATCCATGTTAGCATCTTAATTCGGCTAGTAAAAGAAATTTGGGTTTGGGAATGTAGCTCCGTCTTAGAGTTCTTTCTGAGCATGTTAGCTAAAAACAACCAAGAAATCTGGATTTTCAAAACAAAATTAGTACTTTTTTTAAAAAATGGTACTGAGGATTGAACCTAGGGCCTTGTATGTTCTAGGCAAGCACCCTGCCACTAAGCTATATTCCTAGTCCTGGTTTTACTTTTTACTTTGAGACAGTCTCACTAAGTTGCCCAGGCTACCTTGACCTTACAATCTCCCTCTTTTGGCCTCTGGAGTAGCAGGGATCTCAGGACTATGCCACCAGGCCCTGCTCAATTATATTGATTTCAAAGCTATTTTTTTTCATTATTTGACTCTACAAATTTTTATTGCCAGGTACCATGCTTAACACTGGGGATGAAGAGTGAACAAATCCTATAGTTCATAAATTTGCTAAGTACATTTGAAATTATTTATTATTTAACTTGTTTATGGTACTGAGGATTGGTATGAGAGCCCTGGGCACACCGGGCAAAGCTCTACCACTGAGCTGTAGTGCCAGCTTTTTTTAATTTTGAGACAGGCTCTCTAAGTTACCCAGGCCAGCCTCTGTTTTGAGTTGGATGCCTCAGCCTCTGGAGTAGCCAGGATGATGAACATGTGCCCCCACACCCTGCCGCTAAATACTTTTCCTATTCTCTTTTCTTTCAGCTATGCCTACCTGACATCGACAGCCGAAGTGTGCAAAGCTGCATCTCTTACCTGTCTTTTCAAGTCCTCGATGACTGAGAAATACCTGCTGTAGTCCTGATCAAGCCCACGGCCACAGCCAGGCCCGTATTTCTCATACCAGCCCTTAATCTTCCTCTCCAGGTCTGTGTTGGCCTCCTCCAGAGCTGCTACGTGCTCCAGGTACAATGCCAGACGGTCATTGAGGTTCTGCATGGTCACCTTCTCATTCCCAGAGAGGAGTCCAGGCTCGCTTCCAGGGAAGCCAGTGCCGTTGCCACCTCCCAACCCCTCCCCGCCATTGCTAAAGCTTCCTCCAGCAGAGACACCTCCAAGAGTGCAAGAGAAGCTGCTTTCTGCTCCTGGTCCAATACACACATTCCCAGCCACAAAGCCTGCCCCTGCCCTAGACAGCCTGACAGACCCGGCCCGAGAGCAGATCCTGGATCCCCCAGAAAATCGAAAAGACATGGTGACAGCACGCGACCCTTTCTCCAGAGAGTTGTGAAGCCAAGGTCCACCTTCCGCGTTGCCACTGGCTTTTATGGCATTCAATCTCAGCTGTGCCCACCTGTAATAAAATATTACTCCTATCCTAATTGCTGTTTTTCACAATTGAGCAATTTTTAATAGTGTCCAGTAGGTGGCAAGATGCCCTGAGGATGTTTTTTATATATGAAAAAGGTGCCAGGCAGAACAGTACTAATTCATAGCCTGTTGATGTTAGTAATGCTAAATCAGAGCCCTGTAGGTCACAAAGAAGAAGCCATCATTTGCTTTCAAAGATGTATGTGTGCATCCTTTTGACCTCTGGAATATAGACTGCCCCCAACATAACAAAGAATTCAAATAAATGTATTTCAACTGCCCACTTTACTGTTTCTCTTTTTAAATTATTTTTACTGTTTCTCTTTATTATTTTTATATTATGTGTATGAGTGCACACATGTAAGTGCACCCTGTCACGCAATGCCTGTGAAGGTCAGTAGAGGATGTCAGATTCCCTGGAGCTGGAGTTATGGATGGTTGTTAACTGTTATGTGGGTGCTGGGAATTGAACCCAGGTCCTCTACTAGAGCAGCCCAGTGCTCTTAACTGCTGAGCTATCTCTCCAGCCCATTTACTTTCTTACTGAAACCAGAAACTCTCAATATCTAGTTATGTTCTGATAGCAAGAGTTACTGAGTCGATTTATTTTTATGTGTGCATCTGTGTGCATGTATAAGTGCATGATCATGCATGTTTGTGTGTGCAGGTGCATATGTGTGTAAGTGGGTGTGCATGTGTGTGCATATGTGTATGGAGGTCAGAGACAACCACAGGTATTGTTCTGTTATTCACCTTGTAGTTTTTTTGAGAAAGGTCTCTCACTGGCCTGGAGCTTATGGAATAGGCTGGCTGACCAGTGAGCCTTAGGGACCTACCTGCTCTACTTCCCCATTGCTGGGATTGCCAGTATGCACCACTGAGCCTGGATGTTTTTACATTGGTTCTGGGGATCAAACCCAGGTCCTCTCTCCAGCCCCTTGAATTTGTTTTTAATACATTGAAAACAATAATAGAAGTCCTATAGTAACGCGTGTTGATGGAGATTTATATTAAATTTTTTTTCTTTGCTCATCATTTTTTAAAATCTTTTGGGATGGGGGTCTTATGTAGCTAAGGCTGGCTTTCATCCTCAGACCTCAGCCTTCTGAGTGCTGGGAAAACAGATATGTGCTACTGCGACCGGCGAGATTTCTTGGTTTGATCTAGGAGTAGAACATCAATTCAACTAACTTCTAGACTCCAAATTGTTCACTTCTTTTCCTCAAAACAACAACAAACATTTTTTTGAGTCAGGGTTTTATCATATAGCCCTGGCTGGCTTGGAGCTTGCTCTATGAACCAGCCTGATCTTGACCTTGTGTGATCCTTTTGTTGTCTCTGCTCCGCGGTGCTGAGATCACAGGCCTGTACCACCTCCCACCGCCATTGTTCTTTAGTTTGTATCTGTATATAAAGCATTATTGTTCTGAGACATGAGCTTCATACTGATCAGTGGGGACTGACATTTATAAAGGAGGTGGGTGTTTCCATCACTCCTAGAAAATCCATGACTTGATACTTTGGAAATTGGTTGCCATGGAGAAGCAGATGCTTTCTTCTTTTCTGTGAAGCCCTTGGGAATTCTCCAGTCTCCTTGTGCTTCCCTATGAACAAATGAACATGATCACATCCTACAGTGTCGACGGAAGACTTCAGTAGTGAGCAGCTCTAATAATGAATGGCCGCAGGACAGTCTGAAGGGCACAGACATTTTACAAATGTTAATTATTTATATTATTATAATAAAGTGGACATGTCAGACAGGGGCAGGTTGCTATCTCTTATAATAGGTACAAATTGATTGGTCAACTGATTACAGGTTTTAGTCTTGAGACTGTAAGTCTTTCCTCCGTGAGATTTTTTTTCAATGTTGTAGATATTGAATATCTTGAAAAATGTTGAAGGATAGTCCTTAAAACATATGCAATATTCAGTGGACTAGAATGTGTGAATTTTAAAAATTGTAAATATTTAAAAATAAATACAAGATTGTAATTTAGACCATATAAGTGCACAACATCTTATATCTTGATACCTTAATGTATCAATTGTATTCAGAGACTTCCCAGTGATTTTGTTGTGACCTGGTCAAAATTTTAAATATTTTTTTGCCAACATTTCCCATGAATGAAACAAGTAAAACAGTGTGTTGTCAGAGTCTTGTTTATAGGACTTGACTCTTTTATAGATCAGAGTTGTTATGAGAGTGCCAAGTATTATTAAAATAATCTGTTTATCTCCAGATGGTTTACAAATACTAATTAACTTATCTTCTGTGAAGTAAGTTAAGTCTATATTATTAGAGTTGTGTTGGAGATGAGCTGGCTCTGAAAACAATGCAGGGACATAGATCACAGACCTGTTCTCCATCAAAGCATGACCAGGTGGTACTTAACTGCTGGAAACATCATTGCTGTTTACTCAAAGGGCAAGTCTTTTGAATTCTTATCACAGACTTCCTCTAAACTAATACGTTAGAAGTTTAAGTATGCTTTAGTCTTTTCTGGAAGTGGAGGATAACTGTAATGGATTCCCCACGCACTTTTATATTGGTTCCTTCAGAGTGGTTATGAATTCATGGTCAGAAAGCAATATCCAGCAGTATCTCATTCATCGTTTCTTGAGAATCTATTCAGTATTAAAGAGTGGCATGCTGTGCATATTACCGATACCCAAAATAGTTCAACTGAATTAAAGTTATACTCTTTCAATGTCTCATTCCAGGGGGCTGTAGAGATGGCTCAGCGGTTAAGAGTACTTAACTGCACTTGCAGACGACCTGGATTCAGTTTCTAGCACCCACATCAGGCGGCTTACAACTACCTGTAACTCCAGTTTCAGGGATCTGACACCCCTCATGGCCCTCGAGGGCACCCACGCATGCAACATGGTATACATAAACTCACACAGGTGCACACACGTACATAAATAAAGAAAATATAACAATGAATTAATGTGTCATTTCAGGATAAAGTTTTTCATTGTGTTATCTTACTCTGCTTACCACAAATTTATTGTTTAGTTTCAAGCACTCCATTATTTAAAGTGTACCTCCTGTACTCCTGTTAGCTATTTTAGGAAAACATTTTTCTTTGAAATTTATTAAAAATTTTAAATTTATTTGTCTGTGTATATATGTGTGGGTGTGTGCTATGGCAGGAGAGTAGAGTTCAGAGGACAGCAGGTGGAATTTAGTTCTCTTTTTCTACCATATGGGTCCCAGGGATCAAACTCACTTGTCTGCGTGCGCCTTTACCCACTGTGGCATCTTGCCAATCCAGTAAAACATTTTTTGTTGACCATGACTGAGGTTTGTTTTGTCACTAGTTTCCTAGTTTTTCTTCTGAGAATCAGATTGTGGTGTGCTAATTCCTCCCCCAAATGATTCTCTGGTTTGAGAAAGAGATTTCTGATTGGAATGAACACTCTTTCTCTTGGTAGAGGAGGGTGGAGTCATAGGGTTCTTGGTTCTTGGCAGCACGGCATTCCATCACGGATAAGCGCAGGCTGTGAGTCAGACAGCCTGGATTCCAACACCTCCAGTTATTAGTTGTGTGACTCTGGGAAAATGACTCCACTGCTTTCTGACTCAGTTTCTTTACTCTTATAATGAGGGTGATCATAGTATCTACCTCAGAGGGTTGTTGTGAGGACTAAGTGACTAGCACTTAGCACACAGAAAGTGATTCTTCCCTAGCAGTTGTATTTTAAAAGTCTTCAATAGTCTCACACATTGTCTCTACCTGGTTTCAGCAGAAAGAGTTCATTCCCTGAGTCATGAATGGGTGGTCAGACAGTCTAAATACTAAAGAAATCTGAGCTAGGTATTTAGACATTTAAAAAGTTGTAAAGACTTTTTCAGAGCAGCTTTAGACTCACAGGAAAAGAGAGGAAGGTACAAAGATTTCCCACGTACTCCTGGCCCTCAAGCACACATCGCCTCCGTGTGTATCAACACCCTCCACTGGGGTGGTGCATCAGGTCCAATCATTGGACGTCCGTGGTTTACTTTAGGGGTCACTCTTGGTGAACCCTATGGGTTTGAGCAGTGTGTAAATCCCTTTGCTCTTTCCCATCTTCTCCTCCCATTCTTTGGCAGCCGCTGGTCTCTCCTGTTTGCACAGCTTTGACTTTTCTGGGATGTCACAGACTTGGAACCGTACACTGTGCAGCCTTTTCAGTTTGGCTTCTTTGACTTAGTAACAGGCATCCACGTTTCCTCTGTCTTTTCATGGCTTGGTAGCTCTGGGTGATAGCCCGTAGTCTGGATCTGCCACCAGTACTTTGCTTGTTTTTCTGCTTGTTTTAAGTTTTGGCAATAAACAGATAAAGTCACTATAAACACCTCTGTGCAGACTTAAATTTTTTTCTTTTATTTATGTGTCTGTGTGAATGTATGTGCTGGCACCCAAGGAAGCCAGGGGATGGCATAGGGTCCCCTGGAGCTGGAATTACAGGTGGTTGTGAGATGCCTGATGGATGTGTGTTCTGGGAACTGAACTTGGGTTCCCCGGAAGAGCAGCAAGCCCTCTTAACCACCAAGCTATTTCTCCAGCCACTCCTATGCAGGTTGCTGTGTGGACAAACTTTCGACTCCTTTGGATAAAGGAGTAAGAATCCTGTGATTGCTGGATTGTATGAGCAGAGTATGCTTAGTTTTCTAACAAACCTATTCAACTGTCCTCTGAAGTGGCTAAGTATTTTTGACTATGGAACTATGTGGCAAGGGATTTTCTTTTGATTTTGACATAAGGGTATAGGATGTAAGAGTCAGTTAATCAGGAAGTTAAATGAGTATATTTGTTTTAGGTTTACTGGGGTGATATTTATTTATTTTACCTATGTATTTTAATTTTATGTTTATAAGTGTCTTGCCTGTCTGTATATAAGTGCACCATGTGAATGCAATGCCCAAGGAGGCCAGAAGAGGGTGTCAGATCTCCTGAAGTTGGAGTTACAGACTGTTGTGAGGGGCCATGTGGGTGCTGGAAACTGAACCTGGGTCTTCTGCAAGAGCAACCAGTGCTCTTAACCACCGAGCCATCTCTCCAACCCTTATTTATTTTTTGAGACAGGGTCTCCTATAGCCCAGGCTGGTCTCAGACACTATGTAGTTAAGGATGACCTTGAACTTCTGATCCTCCTTCCTCCACTTCCCACGTGCTAGGATTACAGGCATGTGCCATCATGTCCTGCTTATGTGGTGCTGGAGATTGAACCCAGGGGCTTCCTGTATGCTAGGTGAGCACCCTACGACTAAACTACACCCCAGCCCCCCACCTGGGTATTTTAAATGCTTGTGGGAAGGGATGGAGGGGAGACAATGGAAGGCTATTATCATTCAGCTGTGTGAACCTCTTCTGCAGAGTTTGATGATGGCTACTGGTTCCTGAGAAAAAGCAAGCTGTTTCTGTTGTGGGTCACTGTGCAGGAGGCAAATTATTTCATCCTCAAATGAACCCATGGAGAGTATTCTGACTTGTTCACACCTTCCCCTCCCCCATGAAGCCTTAAACTACAGGTCAGAGGAGAGAAATTTATTAATGACAAACATTAAGTATTATTCCACCTAAAATATATTTGACTTGAGAGACGTATTGCTCTGTGCCTTAGATGCTGAAAACTGAACACTTGTGTCTCTCCATCCTCTTGGGAGAGTAACTAAGATTGTGGTTAGACACCCAGAGGAATTCTCTACTTCCCCCAGTGCCCTCATCTCTCTCTTTCTCCTCTTAAAAAAATTGTGTGAAAGCCAGGTGTGGTGGCACACACCTTTAATGCCAGCACTCGGGAGGCAGAGGCAGGTGGATCTCTGTGAGTTCAAGGCCAGCCTGGTCTACATAGTGAGTTCCAGGACAGCTGGGGCTACAGGGAAACCCTGTCTCAAAAAGACCAAAAAAATTGTTTGAGAATTTTCCACATGAATATAATTGGTTTGATCACTTCCTACTCTCCCCTGCTTCCCAAATTCACGTGCTCTTTTTTTAAACCCACCGAATTCATTTAGTGTTGCCAGTATATGCCTGGATGTGGGCCATCCTGGAGCGTGGGCAACCCATCAGGGGCTGCGTCCCTGAAGAAAACTGATTCTCACCCAGTAGTCATCAATTACCAGGAGCTCCTCAGAAAGGACTGGGTCTTCATGAGCCCCTCCCCATCTGTGCTGGAATTTTGGTTGACTTGACTCTCTGCATGTATCATAGCTGCCTGGTTCATGTTGTTCAACAACCCTGTCATGTCTGGAAAACTTTCACAGCAGTCTTCCACTACCTCTGGCTCTTACAATCTTCCCACCCCTAGCCTTCCTTGAGCTCTCTTTCTCTTCTTCTTAAAAAAAGTCACAGAGCTAGACAGATGGCTCAGCAGTTAAGAGCACTGGCTGCTCTTACAGGGGACCTAGATTCAGTTCCTAGCACCTACATGATGGCTAACAACCATCCTAACTCCAGTTCCAGGGGATCTGATGCCCTCTTCTGATCTCTGTGGGCATTGCTTACATAAATGCATTTATATACATGCAGGCAATACACTCATAAAATAAAAACAATAAATAAAATATTTTTAAAAAGTCACCCCATATCATCTTTCCTTATGTTTAAGATGTCTCTGACTCTTTAATTCCTTATTTTTGTTTCCATGAGCCCATTATAATCAAGAACTGGGTTTTAGGAACTATTTTATTCCCACTTAGCACATACGTGATCAGTAGTGATGGAAGGACAGAAGACAAATTTTGCAGAAACGTGAAAAAGATCACAAGTGGTTATGTGTTAAACCCATCCCTAACTTGTGAATAGCACAGAATTAAACAGAAGAAATTAAAGACAGAACTTAGCTCCCGTGGGAGGGTGTATCTAGATGCAGTGACGGGCCGGAACCAGAGAGAATGACTTGCAACAAGAAGAAGTTTTATTGAAACACCACCAGAGAGAAAGCCAAAGAAACATCAGCCATCTGAAAAGGGCTGTCTTCACTCACTGGGAGAAAAGCAGAAGATAAGAGGGCTCTATTTAGGGAAATCTTTCTGACTTGGCATTTTAATGGGGCAGCCCTTCTTTGTGGGGCTGGAGTTCATGAAGGCACCCTCTGCTCATTCTTGTTGATTTTGGTGGCTTTCTCCTCCAGGGTGTGGACTCTGGAGGACAGAACCTTGCCCCGAGGATCTAATTCTTCAACAACAGTTTTAACGATGGCAGTTTTAGATGAATCTAAAATGACAGGTACAAAAGGTTAGAACTTTATTAAATTCAAAAAATGGGAAACAACTCATCATTTGACGCAAAGACAATAACAAAGAAAGAGGAGAAAGGAAGGCTGGGGAGATAGCTCAATTCACAAAGTGCTTCATTTGCAAGGATGAGGACTTGAGTTTGAGCCTCAGAGCCCTTGTAGAAAGAGTTGGGCATGGTGGTGCACCTGTAACCCCAGGGCTGGGTAGGCGAAGGCAGGAGGGTCCCTGGGCCTCACTGGCTCCTCAGTCTAGTCTATTTGGTGAGCTCCAGGCCAGTATGAGAGCCTGCCTCAAGCAAAAAGGTGGGTGGTGCTTGAGGAATGACACCTGGATTGTCCTCTGGTCTCTACACAAGCACTCCTGCATATACATGAACATGTATACAGAGAGAGAGAGAGAAAGAGAGAGAGAGAGAGAGAGAGAGAGAGAGAGAGAGAGAGAGAGGAAGAAGCCAGTGAATATGTCATAGAGCTTTTACTTACCTTTTGTCTGATTTCCTGGTCCCCCCTGGCCTTTTGACTTAACACAAGAGCTGTAAAAATTGATTTTGCATTAATTATATAGTATGTGTTTTGCTAAGGAAATTGAAAAGCATAGTTTTAAAGTAGGAGTTCAGGGACTGGAGAGATGGTTCAGTGGTTAAGAGCCCTGGTTGCTCTTGCAGAGGATCTGGGTTTGATTCCCAGCACCCACATGGCAGCTAACAACCATCTGTAACTCCAGTTTCAGGGGATCCGACACCTTCTTCTGACCTCTGCAGGCACTGCACATGGGTGCACTTACATACATGCAGGCAATACACTCATATGCATAAAATAAAGAAATAAAATATTAAAAAATAAAATAGGAGTTCATTGAATGCTGAAATAATACTAGAAGGGGTTTTATTCACACATATTTGGATTATAGTTTGTACTGTTTCAAATCATTGTTAGGAATTTTAAATGGTATTCTTAGAGGAGCAGTGCTTACCCCTCATCCCCGTCTATGAGGAGGCAGTAGGTCTCAATTTCCTTCTCCAGGTGGGCCTTGACATTCAGGAGCTGCTCATACTCCAGCTTCTGCCCCTCGGTCTCCGTCCTGACCTGGTGCAGCTGTTCCTCCAGGGCACCAATCTGAGCCTGGATCTGTGCTAGCTGCGTGCAGTAGTTACCCTCGGTCTCCGTCAGTGAGCACTCCAGAGAGTGTTTCTGTGTTTCGAGGAAGATATTGTAGAAAATGTTTCTATACCATTTCAGAATAAGCCAAGTCACTTAAGAGATGATGATGAATAGAGTTATCCTTATACAATGTAAACAATCATATCCAGGGCTGGGGAGGGGGTGGCTCATTCTGTGATAAAGTGTTTGCCATGCATGCATGAGGACCTGAGTTCGGTCCCCAACACCCATATGAAAAGCCAGGCCTACCTGTGGGCTTGTAATTCCAGTCCTGGAGAAGTGGAGGCAAGATCCCTTGTAGCTTGATGGTTGGCTAACCTATCTTAATCTGTGAGCCCAAGGTCCCACCCAGAGACCCTATCTCAAAGAACAAGGTAATCAGCTCCTGAGGAACAACATCCCAGGTTGACTTCTAGCCTTCACACACATATGTACATATACACACATGTACATTCACACACAACACAAATAATTATATCCATCCAAAAGATTCCATTTGTTCAGTATTCACGGTAGACATGTTATAATGACCCAGATGGTGGTGAATGGTCCTTTTAGGTCCAGGAATATTAGAAAAGATGAAACTGTTTTTTTTTAGGACACAGTCTAAAAATCCCTCTCCTGCCCACACACCAATATATCCTGTGGTTGTGGGGTCTGGACCAATTTGCAGTTTTTCTCAGTAGTGAAGCCCCCCCCACCCCACTTTGCTTCCTCATTCTGAATCACATGAAGGCTTTGTCTCTTGCAGATTCTAGCTTTTTGGTCCAAAAACCAATCCTATAGTCAATTGTATAAATGCTGTATAAGCAGAGTGAAAAGTGTCACCTTTTAAGCTTGTAATTGTCCAGTTCCTTGGCTTGTGAAGCCAAAAGAGCTTATATAGTGTGACACTGGGAGCACCTGCCAGAATTCACCCGGAATGAGGGTGAGACATCTTATCCTTTCACACACCACACATCTCCATATAGGCCCCGATTCTATATGCACTCAGAGACAACATGTGCATTCTTTTGTGGATAAACACTGGAGGTTTCCTAGACATAGTAGGTAAAACGCAGACTTGGGGATTTGAAAACTCAGCGAGAAATTCTGGTTCCACCTGCGTGACTCTGGGAATCATCTATCTTTTTGTGAATCTAAGAATCTTTTGGAGATAATGGTGGAAGTTGGAAAGTCTGTCTGCCTATGCCTCAGGGGTACTGTGGACTAACATGTGGGTGAAACCGCTGGACTAACCCTTAATGAAAAGGGTGGTTATTATCATCATTAGGCATGTGTTGCTTCGGAGTCAACCTTCATGCCTCTACTTTGTTTCTTATTCATGCCACTTAAAAGGAACTAAAATGCTCTTAATTAACTGACAAGGGCTAGATGAGGAAACTGGGGTGTAAGAGTATTCCTGCTCTCCACAGACAGTAGTTTTTGATCTTTTGACTTGGGAGAGAAGATTCAAAGTAAAACTTAGTTTTTATTCTTGAGCACTTCAAAATAATTGTATTTGCTGATTTCCTGGTATCGCAGTTATTAACATCCTATTGTTAAGCAAAGGGCGGGATCATAGAGAAGCAAATGTGTCTTAGGTCAACATAGCAATTAATGGATAAGATGCAAAGTAGCAGTGTATGTATGGAAGGAGACTGCTTTTAATTTTCCTCATTCCTAAAGCAAGTCTGTCTTGTCCTTGTACTTACCATGGCCAAGAGGGATTGAAGTTCAATCTCGAGGGTTTGCAGAGTGCGTTTCATCTCAGTAAGCTCATTCCTCGCTGAGGTGGTGGCCCCAGCATCATCTGAGATTTGCTGCTGCAGGGAAGCGCTCTGCAAAGTCAGGAGCCGGTGTTAGGGCGGGGCCAGCAACATCCACGCCTGGTGCCAGGTACGCACACTGGGGCCTGGCTTTACCTTTTCTTGGAACCAGGCCTCGGCGTCCCTGCGGTTCTGCTCAGCCAGGGCCTCGTACTCAGCTCGCATGTTGTTGAGCAGGACGGTGAGGTCCACCCCGGGGGCGGCGTTCATCTCCACGTTCACGTTGCCTCCGGCCGCACACTGCAGAGCTTTCATTTCCTGAAAGATTTGTTTGACCCCATTAAGGTCTAACTACTAGTATCGAAGTCATGGCTAGAAGGTTTGCTTCTTTTCCTCTCTTTTTAAAAACATTTTTATTTACTTATTTTACGTGGTTAGTGTTTGGCCTGTAAGTGCACCTGCAGTGCTGATGGAGGCCAGAAGAGGGCGGTGGATACCCTGGAACTGGAATTACAGATGGGTGTTAGTCATGTGGGTGCTGGGACCCGAACCCAGGTCCTCTGCAAGAGCAGCCAGTGTTCTTAACTGCTGAGCCATTCCTCTAGCTTCTATTTTCTTCTTTTTTGATTTAGGGGCTCCCTCTTAAGCCCAGACTAGACTTGAACTCTCAGCAATCTGCCGGTCTTAGCCCCATGAGTGCAGAAAATTACAGCTGTGAGCTGACAGACTCGGTAGGCTTGTTTGATTTGAGAGGGACTAACAGAAACATTTCAAAAGCATGGGGAAGGCAGAATAATGGCTCTGCAGTTAAGGGCACTGGCTGTTCTTGCAGAGGACCAGGGTTTGATTCCCAGCACACACGTGGAGGCCTCCTCAGCTACCATGCATGCACCTGGTGTTCTTCCGTACATGCAGACAAAACATATGAAGTAAAAGTAAAATAAAATAAATCAAAGGCATAGGGAGAAATTGGTAGCCTTCTTCTTGATATTAAGGTCTAATATTTATCATCCGAAATTAACTTTTAATTTCGGGAAAGAGGTGGGCCTGAGAACTGGGGAGGCAGTTCTAGGGAGAGCGCCTACCTCCTCGTGGTTCTTCTTGAGGTACGCCAGCTCTTCGGTGAGAGTTTCCAGCTGGACCTCCAGGTCAGTTCTGCACAGGGTCAGCTCGTCCAGGACTCTTCGCAAGCCGTTGATGTCTCCCTCCACGCTCTGGTGAAGCGCCAGCTCGTTTTCGTACCTTAGCGTTGACAGATTCATCCTCAGTGACCACACATGAATCAAGACCCGGCGATACTCAAAATTCTCTCCCTTATGACCTTGACGTTTATTTGTGTTATCTCCAAATTTTCTAAGTAATTTTCTAGACTATTCTGCTAGTCTCCTCAATCTGCGTTCGGTTTAAAATGAATTAGTGAACAAAAAACCAAAGAGTAGAGCAAAAACCCAAGTGCCAGCGGGAGACTCTGAGATAACTTTTGGTCTGTTTCTCTTCACTTACTTCAGTCTGAAGTCGTCAGCCGTCAGTCTTGCATTATCATTTTGTAGGACAATGTTGGCGTTACTTGCAGTAGCAGAAATTATCTGATAAATGGAGAGTTAGGTAAGAGTGAGAAGATATTATTCAAATGTCCTTGAAATATATATGAAATCAGAGTAGTATTTCTAGCACCTGTAATTAACGATTGTTTTGAAAACGGGAAGTTGAGCTACAGCTTATTTATTTATTTTTTTGGTCTTTTTGAGACAGGGTCTCCCTGTAACCCCAGCTGTCCTGGAACTCACTATGTAGACCAGGCTGGCCTTGAACTCACAGAGATCCGCCTGCCCCTGCCTCCCGAGTGCTGGGATTAAAGGCGTGGACTACCACGCCCGGCAGGCTACAGTTTTTAGAATTCCCACCCTATCCACGTAAAATGAAAGTCCCTTCTTTCAAGCTTATAAATATCTCGTTGGGGGCTGGTTGCCGTGGCTCCTGCCTTTAATCCCACCCCTCCGGAGGCAGAGGTAGGCGGATCTCTGTGAGACTGAGGCCAGCCTGGTGACTTCCAGGCAGGTTGGAAAAAGGGAAACCATGTCAAAACACACACACACACACACACACACACACACACAAATATCTGTTGTAGTTTTGATATTTTAATCCTACTGAAAAATACATGCATACTTAATACCAGGTCAGTCATGTTCAAAGATTAGACTTTTAATAGAGATTAATTTGAATATTGATAATGAACCACTAAAACGGAGAAGCCAAGAGCGCTTCTGCTTTGCAGTCTCTGTGCCCCAAAGTGTGTTTCTTACCTGGTTCCGGAGGTCATCAATGATTGGGAAGTATCTACTGTAATCGTGATCAAGACCTCTGCAGGAGCCAGGCCCAAATTTCTCATACCAGCCCTTGATCTTCTGCTCCAGGTCAGCATTGGCCTCTTCCAGCGCTTGCACATTCTCCAGGTAGGAGGCCAGGCGGTCGTTGAGATTCTGCATGGTCACCTTCTCATTGCCGGAGAGGAGGCCGTGCTCGTTGGCAGTGAAGGCCCCACAAGAAGCACTGCCCACGCCATAGCCTCCTGCTGACGAGCTGCCCCCAAAGGCGCAGGAGAAGCCACTTCCCATGCCTGGCACACCGCACGCACTCCCAGCTCCGAAGCCTGCTCCGGCACTGGAGAGCCTCACGGAGCCCAGCCGTCTGGATGCGGAGGAAAAGCGAACCGACATGGTGCTGAGACTCGAGTGCTGCTGTGATGGCGAATATCCTACTTGGTGAGGTTTGCTTTATATATACATCATTAGGGTGTTTCTAGGTGGACTCTGCTATGCATAGCAAAATGGTGTTTGCCAGCTCATTTCGAATTATACTTAAGTGGGTGACTTTTTCCCCTAATGATTGTCTTTACCCGGCTGTGTCCATTTCCGTAGGTGGATGTTACCTTGGGGCTGTTTGTTATCTCTTGGATGGAGCAGGGTGGAGTATTATCAAGGTTATTATAGGGATGCCTTTCAATTTAGCGTGAGCCACCTTTCCTGTCTTCCAGCTTCAGGAGTATAAAATTCCTATAAAGAATTAAACGACTATGACAGATAAATTTCTCTTTCCCTTGCCCAATAAAGTTCACATTTCTTCAGCAAATAAAACATCATTGTCAAAGTTCTCTATCAGACATGCTGAAAATAATTTCAAGACTGTGGGCCTTGGATATCAGAGGAAGGAATGGTGGGCTTTAAGTGAACTTTGAGAAATAAATGGGACTCTGCTTTGGAAACAGAAAATCTTCCCTTGATGCTTATCCTTCCTGAATTACCATTTAATCTGCACAGATTTCTGTTTAAACTCCATTGTCAGGCAGTTACACAGGGGAGCTGGTTAGCCTGCATGGCTCTCAGCTTCTTCAGCTGTAAACGATGGACCTGGGTTATGGCCCCTTGTCCCTTTTATGTCTCTGGGTTTCTCATATTTTACATCTCTTCCTCTCATTAGAACGTGTTTCTGCACTTACCTCCTCTACTTTTTACTTCCTATACCTTCTGAAATTTTGTCTCTCATTTTAGAGATTTGGGGCTTATGGCCCCTAATCACTGCACACCTCCAAATCAGGGCTTCTTCTGCCTCCCGTCCCGTCTCCTCCTTTTCCCTCCCCTTTCCTTCCCTTCTTCCTGTGGACAAGCTCTCACTATGTAGCCCGAGCTGGCCTTGAACTTGTGATCTTCCCGCCTCAGCTTCCGGAGGGCTGAGGATGCAGGTGTGGGCCACTGTGCCTGCCCAACCACAGCTCCTTCTATTTATTCCCCTACATTCGCTTTCCGATAGCTGCTGTCTGAGACCTCCTCTACGTCTCTGGTTGCTCCCCATTTCTCTGCCGTTCATGCTTTCTTCGTCCCACGTTTTCCCATTCTCACAGTTTTGTGCTTGCCGTGTAAGATGGCTCTTCATACAGCCTTCACCTTCCTGGCTTGTCATCTTATTTCCCTACGTCCCTCCTTTCCCTCTTTTTGCCTTTGATCATGCTCTTTGCACCCGTTTCTTTTCTTCCAAAAATTAAAAAAATTTCCGTGTGAGATCTTGCATTTGCCAGGAACAATTGACATCACTTTCAGTTGTGTATTTTGAAAACAAAGAAACTAAGAACATTAATTTTCATAACCTAATAGATGAGCTTGCAGAAAAGAAGGCTAGAAAAATTTGAATTCAGAAATAATGTTCATAAGGAAACCTCTTGTTTTAAATTGTTTTTATTTACTATTTTTATTTTACCAATGAGTGTATTGCCTGCATATGTGTAAGTGCACCTGTGTTGTGTAATGCCCTTGGAGGTCAGAAGAAGGCATTAGATCTCTTGGAACTGGAGTTACAGACAGTTTTTAGCCACCGTGTGTGTGTGTGTGTGTGTGTGTGTGTGTGTGTGTGTGTGCCGGGTCCTGTGCAAGAGCCATCTACTACTGAGCCATCTCTCTAGCCCTGGAACCCTCTTGTTTTGTAAGCTAAGTAAAAATTAAAATTTAGAAAGAAATGTTATTAAAATATTTTAATAACTTATTGTAGTGCATAAAATTATGATACCAAAACATTATTTCTTGCAGTTTGTAAGTTTATGTTGTCATATATGTATTGTTATTACCCTGTTATATATTATAAGCAGATGTTTTTAAAAGATAAAGGTTTATATCCCACTTCAGAGATGCCTGTTCATCTATGTTCATTGCTGCTCTAGTCACAATGGCCAGGAAATGGAAACCACCTAGACGTCCATCAACTGATGAATAGATAATGAAAATATGGTGTATTTTACACAATGAAATATCGTTCAGCAAATGCAATTATGAAATTCGCAGGCAAATGGATGGAACTGGAAATGATCATCCTGAATGAGGTAACTCAGACCCAGAATGACAAACATCACATGTTCTTCCTCATAAGTGGATGCTAACTTTGAATCCTTAGATACACATATTTCAGTTGGAAAGTCATAGAGGTCAAGAAACTAGTTTTGAGGATCGAAACTAGTTTTTATCCACTGAGCCATATCTCTAACTTAAGAAAGAGCTTTTAGAGTTAAAAATTAACTTCCAGGGACTAGGGATGTAGTTCAGATGGTAGTGTGCTTGCCTAGCATACATGAAGCCCAGAGTTGGATCCCCAACAACACATGAACTGGATGTGGTGGCACAAGCCTGTAATATGAGAACCAGAAGTTCAAGGTTATCCTTGGTTACATAAGGGAGTCTGAGGCTAGCCTGGGCTACTGGAGACCCTGTCTCAGAAAAAAAAACTGAAACAACAAAAACAAAATTTTACTAGATGAACTGGCAAGGAATTTAAAATGTAAGTTGAGTACGGTTGTATGTATACTGAGGCAGGAGAATCATAAGCTGAGGTTTGAGTCCAGCCTGTCTTTAAAAAAAAGTACAAGACGAAAGGGAGGGGCAGAGAAATGGCTCAGTAGTTAAGAGCACTGCTTTTGTAGCAGACCCACGTTTGGTTCCCAGCACCCACACTGCAGCTAACAACCTCCAGTGACTCCAGTTCCAGGGATCTGACACCCTCTTCTGGCCTCTGCGGGCATTTCATGCATATGGTATACTCATACACACATAAAAAAGCACAGTCCTTATTGAATAGGAAGATGGGGGTTCTGAAAGTGAAGTCTTCAGAGGGATAACAATGATTTTTAAAATGTTCACTTCCCTAATGTGGATATCCTGGGAGGTCACTCTCCCTGGGCTCTGTCCTAGTGGAGTAGGGGGGCATAGGGCTCTGCCCCATGACCTACAGTCCCTTTGCGCAATGTTGGAGACGAAGCTGGGGTTTGAGTCTGCCCCTGCATATTCCCATGACTTCTCAGAGTCCTGTGGACAATGACTGGGGAGACAAACCACACAGAAAACAGACCTAGAGAAAAGAAAAAAATGTTAATTTCTTTGTGTGTGTGCCTGCCTGTCTATGTGCAACCCTGTGTGTGTAGTGCCCATGGAGACCAGAAGAAGGTGCTGGATCCCCTGGAGCTGGAGTTACAGGCAGACATAAGTCACCTGATCTGGGTGCTGGGAACGAAATCCAGGTCCTTTGCAAGAGCAGCACATACTCTTAACCACTGAACCATCTCTCCAGGCTGCTAACAACGATTTTTGATGGTTAGAAAGAGGCATGATTAGAGTACTCAGGAAACCAGGTTCACACAAAATAAGAAAACTATCACTCACATACAGAACAGAAATTGTGCAAGGAAACGGAGTGTAATGCTTGACAAATGATGCAAGATAGTCACCTAGTTAAAATGATGAAAATACTGAACATTGATTTGACCAAGTATTATGATGCAACCACGCTTGGGAGAAAGGGAAGGTGGTAAGAGCTAAATTCTGAACTTTCTTTTAAGAAAATATTATAATGTCTAAAATTAAGAAATCAAGAAATATTGATCAAAATATTTAAAAATACAGAGAGTAGACGACAAAGAGTAAGGGAAAGTCTGTGTGCTTTGAGGAAGGCGGAGCTGGGAGCAGGTAGGGATCACAAGCTTTCTCTTCCCCAATTTGGCTTTTACCAAAACTTTACTTTCAAAGAAGTTATTGAAGTGTAGCTATTTAATTAAAAATAAAACATTAGGATAAGCAAGATGCCTCTGCACCTGCCACCGGGCCTGGTGACCTGAATTTGATCACCAGGACCCATGCGGTGGAAGGAGAGAACCAACTCCTGAAACTGGTCCTCTGATCTCCTGTGGATTGTGGCATGCACGCATCTCTCTCAAAATAAAATAAATAAAAATGTTTTTAAAAAGAAACGAAAAAGTAAAAATTAATTGAAGGAAACAATAAAACATGCCAAACACATGCAGAGCTTTCACTGTAAAATTTGCAAATAAAGCTGATACAAAATATGTGTCATAAAGCAGACACTGATGCTTCTGTGTGCAATACTTTAAAAACAGGATTAGGTATGTTGAAATATTCTTCTGTCATAAAATGCTCAGTGCTGGATAAATTACAGTAAAGCCCATTTGAAATTCATTGATCAATTCCAACGAAAAAAAAGGAAGTCATAAGAAAAAAGAGACAGGGCTGGGGAGATGACTCAGTCGGGGAAGACACTTGCCACCAAGCCTGACAATCTGAGTTTGATCCCCAGAATCCACATGTCGGAATGAGAGAACTGATGCCTGCAGATTGTCCTCTGACCTCCACATGTGTGCCGTGGCATGTTCTCTCTAGATAAATAAGTAATAAAAATTAAAAAAAGAAACAAAACATAGAAAGCTGAAACGAATGTTGAGCGGGAGCATGGGCACGCCCTGGAAAAGGCTGCAAGTCAAAACAGGTTTTTGGTTAAGATCTGCACCTGTCACAACTGTTCTTGAAATCGTACTGTAAGCTGAATACTTCCAGATCCTGTATCCAGCTGAAACGGTGAAGCCAGGAACATCTGCGTGCCAGTAAAATGAACCACCCTGAAGATCACCTTGTCGCTGTTCATCCGAGGTAAAGATTCAAGAGAACCGTTCCTGTTGGTATTTGAAATGACTCATCAGCAGCATCCTCTTCTCATATGGTCTTATAATTGGAATTTACACTAGTCTGAAGAAATCTAGTCCAATAAATCTAATCTTCAGTCTGAAGAAATCTAATCCAAATTTAAACTAGTCGGGCTGGGGACATGGCTCAGCTGACACAGAGCTTGTGGCACTAACCTGAATTTGATCCTTGGCACCCAAATGAAACAGCTAGATGTGGTAGCATGTGCTTGTAATCTCAGTGTGGGGAAGCCTCCCTGGGCTGCTGGACAGGCAGATGAGCCGAATGGGAGTGCTCCAGGCTGATGAGAGACTATGCCTCAAAATAAGGTGGGCAATGTTACTGAGGAACCACAACTGAGGTTGTACTGTGACCTCCACACACATGCACCTCACACATATGAACAAGCATGCACTCACACACATATACACAAGAATAAGGCAAGAAATCAAGTTAATAGTATTCTGCAAGGCCCAAGAGAAGTCATTTCAGTCTTGGCCCTGAAGGCTTCCTAAAGTTGTTTCAGCCAAATTAAACAAATGAAGAAACAAAGGACATGTGACTAGGAGTCAGTGCCAAGCACAGTCTGTGGGACGTGAAAGACCATTAATCATGAAATTACAAGGAAGTATATACAACACCCCCCGCACCCTCCACTCACACAGTTTTAATGTGTAGTAAGTGAAGGAACTGGAAGGGCTGTCAGTGGTCAAATGACTATCAAAAAAGACCAGGCCAGCTCCACAGGAGGGACTTCATGTCTGGTACTGTAAATCTGCATAAGCGTCTGTGGCTGAGGAGGTCACCGCCTCAAGGGTGGAACCTACTACTATTGTTTTGCTAAATGGATATGTTGTCAGATTGCTTTCTAAATACTTACATTTACACCCTAGATTAACGCTGCTCTCTGCCTTCGTGAGAGAAGCTTACTTATGCAATGATGGCATCAATACCAGAAATCCACAAATGGTCAAAGTGCTGAGAATGATTGTGAGTGCATAGCCTCAAATGCAACATCTATATACCCCCTCCAAGACTTGTGGAAGAGGTGGTGGAAAGAATGTAAGACACAGAGGAATGATATGAAGTGGTGTCTTCTGGACGTGACCAGACCATTGCGCTCAAAAGCTCATAGCGGTGGTGACACCTTGCACATGGTGTGCACAAGGTTGGGCTCATCAACATTCCATCATGGATGGAGGAGTGGCTCATGAGACCCCATCCCTCCCTAAGAGACTCTAGTTAGTTAGTGGTTGCTGGGGAGGTGTTTCAGGGGTGAAACATAAGTTTGCCTATGCTCCAGTAAATAACCCTCCACCCACACTCATGCAAGCAACCCCAATTAAACTCAGTGGGTTGCACAAACACAAAAGACAGCAAAGTGGGAGGGGGACTTGTTGGGGGAAAAAGGGGCTTTGATGGGGGAGGGGGATGAGAGAGAATAATGGAGGCCATAAATGATCAAAATTCATTATACACGTGTGAAATTGCCAAAAAATCTAAACCTCAGACTTCTAAATTGAAAATCATTAGTCCTAGATTTTTTCCTCCAGTGTCACACCACCCAGACTTTTTATGTATGACCTTCGACTGGCCCAGTGCACTAACTTTTTACTTTCTTTATGATCAATTAATTTGTAAAATTTCAAGGACTTTGTATATAAAACAGATTTATTGAATAAAAGACTTTTTCCAATCCTAAAAAAAAAAAAATTGCTGGTGACTCGGTGGATAAAAGTGCTTGCTATCCACTTATGTTGAGACCTGAATTTGAATTCCATGTAAAAATTACACATGTAGTGCAGGTGCCTGAAATCCCAGTGCTCATATCAGGAGATGTGAGGCAGCAACAGGAGAGTCTCTGGAAGCTCCTGGACCAGCCAGCCTGGTGTGTGCAGCAGGAAAAGGCAGAGATCCCGATTCAAACAAGGCACCTAAGACAAGGGCTGACACCCAAGGTTGTCCTCTGACCAATACAGGTGTGCCATGGCCCCGCACACCAGTATTTGTATATGAATGCATAAACACATGCATGCATATATGACCAATAAATTTTCAAAATCAATTAAAGAGCCAGGCGTGGTGGCGCACACCTTTAATCCCAGCACTTGGGAGGCAGAGGCAGGTGGATCTATGTGAGTTCGAGGCCAGCCTGGTCTACATAGCAAGTTTCAGGCCAGCTGGAGCTACAGGAGACCCTGCCTAAAAAAACAAAACAAACAAACAAACAAAAACCCCAAATGAAACAACAAAACAAAACAAAAACGAAAAAGGAAAATAAAATTAAAACTATAATAACTAAAATGAAACCTTAGCTGATGGATTAAACAACAGATGAGACACAGCTAAGAAGAAAATATGCAAACCATAGGAGAAGAGGACTTTACTCTATTATTCTACTTTTAGCATATGTCCCAAAGCATATATTATAATGTTTTCATATATGTGTATAATGGTTTTCATCATGTTCCTTCCCCACTACCCTACTCTACTCCTGACCTCCTTCTTCCCAATGGTCCCTCTTCTGCTTTCATAGGTATATGTGTGT